GTACAGGACTTGGCGAGGCGCTAAATTTAGCAAAAACTTTCCCCGCTAAATCTAGCTGAAAAGTTCCCCGCTAAATCCAGCGGAAAAAATGTACCCGCTAAATCTAGCGGAAACTTTTTCCCGCTAAATTTAGCGGAAAACTTTTCCGCCAAATTTAGCAGAACATTTTCCCGCCATATTTAACGAAAAATTTTCCCCGCCAAATTTTGTAATTCCAGCCTCCTATCCGTACATTCCCCTCCTCCTCCTCAAGAGCTGCGCTCTAATTCGGTGTTACATGGAGTTGTAAACAGCTTTCAGTTTTTTTTTTATTTTTGTCCTCGAACATTGCCCGGCGTAGACCTTCAACGAGGACTACATAAGTTTAATGAAAAAGCCAACAAGGCAGACCGAAAGACGTGGTCCCTTTACTAGCACCCGACATAGACCACTCGGCGAGTTGTCTTCACGTACTTCACGTACGCGAAAGAAAATCCATTAAGACGTCTGGCTCTTGAGCCGACGGTCCCCCGACGGTCGGGCACCGAGTTTTCCCACTCCAAAATGTGCTGTACCGTGTTTCACCCCTGCGGCCGGAGTCCGCTTGCGCGGTGTATGTAACAGGACTGTCCACGTCTGGAGCTTGTTTGAATGATGCAAATGCTGATGCCTTTTCATGCCCCGAGAAAGGTTATTAGTGATCGCATTGCTGAACGCTCGCCACGTCTACGTGATCATGAAATCAGATATTTACGTTTCTTTATCGCTGCTAAATTATATCGATTAAAAGGTTAAAAGGCGCAAACAAACAGGACGAAAAAAGACACACGCACGACACGGGTAGGCGCCAACTTCCAACTGATTTATTGAAACACGAGTCATCGTCCAACTCGATCCCAATCGCCTAAACACATGAAATTGATAAAAATTCCTATCGCTCATTACACACATCCTTCAAAAAACACAATTTCTTTGGTTAACAGATAAAGAGATAGCATGCTTACGCATCTGTCAGCCGCTTTGTGTATACAGAAAGCTTCGATGAGTTCTCTTTCCATTTTTTTATTTCCTTTCTTGATAAATCTTTTGAGCTCAAACAAAGGTTCGCACCCCTATCGTTCGCAGTGCTCCGCAAGATGACCGCCCGAATTATTGTGTACGGCAAGCTTGTGTTCGCGCGCTCTTTCATTAAAGCATCGGCCAGTCTGACCGATGTAAACTTGGCCGCAACTAAAAGGAATCTCATAAACCACCTTAGTAACGCAATTGGTGTATTTTCTTAGATGTCTTTTTGAGCACACTACAAACTTTCGTGTGCCTTTTTTCGTCCTGTTTGTTCGCGCCTTTTAACCCTTTAATCGATATGAAGTTAACCAACTAGCCCCAACCAAAGTTTTATTAAATTATATCGTCTTCTGTAGTCGTAGAGGCAGCGTGTGGTGAGATATGTACTATTGGTAGAGCCGTGCGAGTCGTGATCGTCCAAGACGGCGCATTGCATCGTTTTCTTTTCTTTAATTCATACACTCTGCCCTGCGAGATTACCCTAGAAAAATAAATATTAATAAAGCTTGAGGCTTTTAAAAACTCTCTGTCTATTTTCTGTAACGATAGTGAGTGGCACTGCATCCCCTTTTTTTTTTAGAAGCATCGCGGAAACAGCTGACGGCGACAGAGAAGCGGCCGCCGTGCTGACGACCTGCTGCGCTTGTTGCAGTGGTTGCAAGACTGTGTACACGTTTCGCAAAGCGGTCGTTCCGACCGCTCCGGTCACAACGGACGCAGTATTAGCTAATGCGCTTGTTGCAGACGTATGAACGAGTCTTTAATTACCTCCTTGGCGAAATACACCTTGTATTAGACGATAAACGCATGTGCAAAATGCCACATGTTGAAGAAACCTACTGAACAATTCGGACAAGTGTCTATTAGGTTTTGGCAAAGTGCGTGTACAACCCAGCAAACAAAAAAAACAAAAAATAAAAAAAAAACAGTTTGCAAAGGCCAATTGATAGCGTACACCATTTTTTGCGATTGACTAAAAACACACATCACAAAGATTAATTGGCGATAAAAACGCAGGCTCTTTATGTGCAGGTTGCTGCTGTACACTGTGGCATCTCCTTTTGCTGATAGCAACGGTGCTTGGAACCCAGTGATGGCATCCTTAGGGTCGTTATCTTGTCTCTTCAATATCTATCTAAGAATCCTGGTATATCGTGTTCAATTAATAAAGTACCTATTGAACCTGCGTCCTAGGAGAGAACGCCATCATGCGACCCTCCCGTCCAGCCGGCGCCCCGTGCTGGGTTAAGTTTGGCGACGCAAAGGATCCAGTTCAAAGACTTTGTACTGGGTAAACACCGAATTGTTCGGCGAAAAATCTGGAGAAAGCGAAGCATCTAACTCTCGATATCTTCGCCAATCGAATTCACATCCCCGAGAAAAAACAAACAGCCGAGAGTGTTACCGGCTTCGTGGCGGCTTCCAGAGTACATAACTCTTATGGGCTTCTCTGCAGAAGCCTGCCTGGAGTTCTGGTACTCGGAGCGACGAACATAGAATTTATTTAGACACCCTTGAAAAACTTGGTTTCACGGCACGCATCAGTTTGAAACGGCATGTGACCAGCAAGACTGTCGCGTTATCACTTGCGCCGTGCTTAGGGGCAGCCCCAAGAATGACCAACACGAATTCCGATAGCGGCGGCGAGCGAAAAGGCATCCGTTACCCTTTCGTAGGCGGGATATATACATACAACAAAACAGTGTTTCCAAACAAGCCCGCTTCGCCCATACAAAGTGTGGGCACTGCGCCTGCGCAGAAACCAACTTCGGGCGGAGTGAAGCGTCTGCGTATGCGCAGTACCAACAGCAGCGTCACCGCAGTGGACTGACGTCAGTGAGTTCAGTTGGTTTAGAGATCGGACCACGTGACTCGCTTTCTAAAAAGATCGGGATGAGTCTGACGCGCTGCGCCACAAATATCCAGTGTTCAACGTAAAGATTCAGTGAACCCGCAGTTTGAACACACGGTCCAGGGGCGATGCAGCCCAGCCTAAGGATGATAAAGAACACAATATGGCGTTGTCTAACATTTTGTTGGCTGTTTGGCGACTCGGATATTTGTTAAAAAGAAACGAAATGACTTGCTGCATTCGCATCTGCGTTTTCCACACGCTTGAAAAAAGGGTTCGAAGCAGAGTTCAACAGGATGTCGAACGACAAAAATAAATTAAATCTAGTGCAACTCCAAAATTCAACATGTATTCCAGACCATGAGAGGATGTACGTCTATAGTGCAGTAAAATCTGTCTGCGTCATACTTTGTGTAAGTGTATGTAAAGGATAAACGCTCTGCAATAATTTTCTTGGGATCACGCTTAAGGTAATTTTAAAACAAGTATACCAGAGTTGGACATCTCTAAAGTAGAAATTAGGCAAGTAGACTCAAAAGCGCCCTAAAACAAAACAAATGGAGCTTTTTTTTTTTTTGTCTACAAAGTTCAAAGACTAGTACTAAATGTGTGATATAGGATCAATTAAAATATTTCTTTTAAATTGCTTTACGAATTATTCTAAACTTACAAGAATATTTCTCCGTGAATTAAGACTTGTGAGGTTAGCTTAACTATTTTATCAGAAATTGTATATGGCGAACCGGTAACACTTTTACAAGGGGACGCGCAGATGGGATAGAAGTATCATGAACAAGAATTAAATTTGTACGGCAATTCGCTAACCATAGCGCAATAAAACGCCCTAACTGGTTTTTAAAACTAGATCTCAATATGTTCATAATCCTGTTGATTTTGTTCCCCTCCGGTTTGCACGTTAAAGCTCAAAAACGTTTTGTTTTTTTTTCTATTAAATGTTCGGAGAGTGCTTTGTTTCTGTATAACACTTTATTAGGAGCTACGTTCGATCGGTTTACATTTTTGCGAGACTGAGCTTTACAAGCACACATTTAGGAAAACGTTTTCCCAGTCTGTTCCAGCCTCACACGCATTCAACTTCAGTATGTCAGAGGCATTGCCGCGGTTTGCGAATTAATATACTTCGCTGTGATATATCAATAATATTCGTGCTAATAAAATTAAAATCGCTTTTAGCTTTCTTTTAAAATCTGTTTTCAGCTCGTTTATTGTACATATTTCGGTCGTTCTTGTTTACGAATAACCTCTCTCCTGGACTCAATTTATTTCTTTCAATATTTTATGCCTTTTGCCGCGTGCGCAGGCCTTCGATTCCTGCCCCCGCTTGTCTCTTTTTCTTTATTTAGGTAAGTAGAAGATTATATAGCGTTGGAGAACAGTGTACATTGTTCATGCTTAGAATGTATACTTCAAAAACAAAAAAATAAGGTAGAATGTTCTAGGATCCCAGGGAGGGCCCAAAAGAAGCTCCGCCGCACCCTACGAAGTCGGTCTCGCCCCAGCGCTCGATCCTGCCGTTATTCACCCATCGATGCCTGCAAAGCTAGCCTTCTGCTTTGTTTGTTTTAGGCGAGTGTTCGCCCCGTTAAACGTTTAGTTTCTTTCAGTCATTCGTCGCCCCGTCAATCGTCATTCGTTGCAATATAGCTTGTGAATCTAATCGTTTGACTCTACGCACTCAGAAGTTTCTGCGAAGAGTCTTACCCGTGATGCCAATTGAACACCTGTTATTTGCCTTTATTGGGTTAAACCAGTGGCAAGGTCTATCGGCATCAAGCTTCCATAAAGATTGCATGGTCATCATGGCGTAATACGGATTCGACTTCCTGTCGTATTGGTTGATAAGGCGAATGATTGGTGTTGCGATTGAATTACGGTTTACTCTACACATAGGGGCTTTTATGACTGCGGTGTGTTCCTGATTTATGGATAGCGTTGGACGTTTTGGTGACAATAGGTAGCCATCAATTTCAACGCAATCGATAATCATGTTTGATTGCAATAAAAAAACTAATAAAAATTGTATCCTAAATTAGTAGTTTATATTTTTTGTTGTAGCTAAAGAAGGGGCTTTTTATCTATCTACTTACTTGTCACCGAGGGCATTGCAACCAAGAACAGTGCCATTTGAATCTTGGAATATTTCAACCAGCTTATGACCTCCGTCCTGCACGTCTGTGGTGATCTTGTGACTAACGCCGGGGATAGACCTGGAACCATATATGGCATGGTAAATATTAGAACAATGTTTTTCATTATTATTAATTTTCCATTTGTTAATCATGAACATTTTTCTAAATTATGATCGGAACAGAATACCGCGAACGTCATCACCGATATCGCAGGACTTGGAATACGAAAAAGGCAGTTATTAATCGGAAAGTGTGAGTAAAATCTTATATCAGACGGCCGGACTTGCAAGTAAAATAGAACATAAAAAGCTCGGGTTGCATCTTTTTTATTTCAAGATAAGTACAACAAAGTACCAGTTGCCGGACAAAAAAAGGCGTAACTTCAGCGCGCTGCTTTAAGTAGAAGTGGTAGCTTAAAATATATATATTTACATGTTCTAGTTTGCCTTACTCGTAGATGAGCCAAAAAAGTATATCATGAGCATTTCGATGTTGCCTAACGGAACAAGAATTAAACAAAACATGTAAACAGCAAGATATTCGACTGCTTTTGAGATAAAATACCTGAGGTTTGACTTTGGCGGACTGAAGTTGTTCTTAATGTGTCTTTTTTAACAGCTTTGTATTGCAAAACCTTAAAATGGCACTTCATTTGTTTAGAAAACAAAATATACTAATAGCCAATAATTTAGAAACTTATAGTTTAGCTATTTTGCAAAGGTCAGGGACTCATCCTAAATCCTGCTATCGGGAGATTACGTGAAGAGTCATTTTTATTCGATTTACCTTCCATCTGTTTTATGAAAGTACTCAGCTATATTTAGGTTGCAATACCTTTTCCAAAAGGCGCAAACAATTACTGGAGCTCAATTCAAGAAAATAACAACTACCTCTGTTTTACGTACAACCTTGCGATGTTTAATAACACTAACAATTGATTTTTTTATTAATCAGTGTAGTCGACCTGAACGCTGAACCTTATTACGGTTCAATGATCACGCAGTCTCATTGGTAAACAAAGGGACACAGTTTTACCATTCAGACTACTTGGTGATTGGGCCGTGGTGCTAATTGCCCTTCTAATTTAAAACACACCATAACTTACATATTTGCGAGTTCCTTGGCAACGTCGGCGACAGATACGTTAGACAGCATCGCGTTCCCCTGAGCCAATGTCCGGGGGCAAGAAATTACCAAACAGAGGAGCACTGCGGCTCCAGAAAAATGGAGTCCCTGTAACATTTTCTTGGTAGTGAAAAGTAGAATAGAAATGTCGTCCTGGAAAAACGAAATAAAAACATAAAGTACACAAAATTATCACCAGTAAAAAAGTGTTAAATAAAAGTGGTAGGAAATATGAGTATTCCTCTTCATTACCAATGATTCTGCATGCATATGTGCTTGGCGGCACTCACGGAATAGCAATCAATGGTCTCTATCGAGTTGGTTCTGCCAATGCGATTGTTGATTGCCATCGTGCTCTAATGGTCATGCAATTTCAGCAGCAAAAGGGGTTCGGCTCCCATTTTGCACACCTGGACTACATATTTATTGAGGCGTGGCACATCCTTCTCATTCAAAGGATCTGCTTAGGTAAAGAGCAATGATTTCGTCCTAGCAGCATTCACGTGCGGCGTAAGCTCGGGGTTCCTAAGATTGTATGAGTTCACAAAGAATGTCTTTACCTATTTGCACCAGGAAAGGACAGATGAGCAGAGATGACGCTGTGCAAAATGCCTGAATACTATCTATGTTCAAATGCGCTTTATCTGCTGAAAAGGCAAGCGGAATGTTGGCCCTTGGGTAACTTTATACGCATGTACCATCTCTGAGAGAAAGGAAAGGGGAAAGGGGAAATAAAATTAGGTACAAAGTAGAGAATCGTATCCGGTGGATAAGAAAAAATGATGGCGACTACGAAAATACTAGCAGCTGTTCGGTGAAAAGCAAGCGTTAACCTTCCAGATATAATGATGAATGTAAACGCACATACTAAAAGGCTAGAACCAAAGTTTTGGGGGAAAGGCGAGCGCCCCCTTGTCTGTTTTTGTGGAACTGTGTATGGTATCGGTTTCTGCCAGGACAGAAAGCGATTCCCACGCTTTCTGCTAGAGTATCGCTTTGTACTACCGTAAGCCATGGCAGAAAGCGATACTATAAAAATGCACTGTTTTTGTACATCTAGGATGAGCTTCGGAGATTATGGCTGAACTATATTTTTAATGTACACACTATATCTTAAAAGTGTAGATTGATTGAGAACAAATTATTTACCAGACTCAATTAATGGCGGAACGCACCGCTAAAGCACAACGTTCATTAAAACTATAATTAAAGTATACATATGTTTAGACCAAAAAACGCAGTCTGAGTTGTGACATTAAGCAATGCAAAACGTCACGCTTGCATTGCTTATTGTCACAACTCAGTCTGCGTTTCTTGGTCTAAACACGTGTTTCGGTATCGTCATTCGCTGAGCTGTTTCCGAAAGCTGTGCTGATTGGTTCTCCGAGTGTTGTGCGTGAAAGTAGATGCACAGACTTTTTTTAGAGTGTATAGCATGCTAGACTAAGTAATACTCGCCACTCGCGATTACCTCCGAACTAGGCACGACTCTCCATCGACTGTCACCTGAGGATTATGGTATGAAATACTATATAGCTCGCCAGTACTGGAAACTCCTCCGAAAACCCATGGGAGCGGCGGCGAACGCGACAGTGGCGCCTCTAGCGGACTCGGAGTTTATGGAAGCAGAAGATGCATTGGAAAGGTATAGGCTCCGCGAGGGTTCCTCGAGCTTTGCGAGTCCTATTTCTTCTCCCCAACAGCTGAAACAATTCATTACAGACAGTTCGCTTGGAAAATGGAACCCACTGATCGCAACTGCAAGGAGAGTCAAATAATAACGCGCGCAGAAACAAAGACGGAGCAAATTATTCAGCGGTCTCGAAGGGCCTCCGGCGCTGAAGCTTTGAACAAACTGTGGCGCCCTCGTTTTGGGTAGTACAAGCTCATTTGGTTGGGACTCCCACTATTGTGGCGCCTTCGCCGTGATTTTTTTCCTTCTTTGTAGCGCACAAGAACGGAAAAATACCTTGGGACGTCCGAAATCGGCTACATTCAACTCTGCGAGACAATCCAATGTTTCAGATTCATGCCACCGCCGCTAGGGTACGCGTCTCCTATCTCTAAGTAGTGACGTTAGAACATCTCGCGTCCCAACCTTTTTGTTTTCTTTCTTCCCCTTTATGTTTGTTTGGGACGCGTGATACGGCGTTTCTTTGTTCACGCTCTTATCGTTAGAATACTTTGGCCTGTGCTACGACGGTGTTAACATTTTTCTGTTTTTTTTTTTTTTTTAAGTTTCTTTCGTTATCGTGTTTCACGCCAGAGCAGGCACGCTTCTATGGGAAGCGTACGACAAGACAGTAACGTCGCGTTGCGGCTCCCAGCAGAGTCGTTTGGCGGGAACATCAGTTGGATCGGCGCGCCCACTTAGGTGTGGCATGCTCTCTATTATCACTCCGCAGCCAATCAGATTATCAGATAACGAAAAGCGTGCGTTATTGTCGCACGCTTTTCATTATCGCTCCGCAGCCAATCAGAGTGCGGTGTCACTAATTATGAAGTCCGAAGAAGGAATCAGGCAGAGCATGAACATAATATGCCCTGCCGTTCTCACTGACAAAGAACTGCAGGGCTTATTATATTCATGCGCTGCCTGATTGCTTCTTCGGCCCTCACAATGAGTAACGCCGCAATCTGGTTGGCTGCGAAGTGATAATGAGAAGCGTGCGACAAGACAGTGGCGCCGTGGTGTGGTTCCCAACAGAGTCGTTTGGCGGGAACATCAGTTGGATCGACGCGCCCCCTTTAGGTGCCGCACGCTCCCTATATGTGTAGCAGTTTGAGTCGCTCAAGTTTGTACTGCCCAAAACAAGTTCTAACAAGTCATCCTTCGCAGTGCCTCCTGGGCAACGCAGGATGCCTATCACGCGCGTTTGAAGCGCCACTGGGAGGCGGACAAAATGCGTTTCGCTACTCGAACCACGTCGTAAAAGGTTACTGTTGACCCGTTACAGACTACTCTGTCATAATTTCTCACCTGAATAGGTGGCCATTAAAACGTGCCCAAACAACTTCTTGAGATTACCAGAGTAAGCGCACCAACCTACTTGAGCATAACCTAAACAAAATTACCGAGAAAAATGACCGTGCTAATACTTCCCGAACTTTGCAGCAAAAATGGGGTTGCCATGCCAGACGAAAATAAAAAGAAATAGGTAACAGTCGCGAACAACGGCGAATAAAACAGAGTTAGCAGATGATACAAACATACCAATCACTTAGTAAGTACCTCCTTCAAAGACGACGAACTTTGTGGCGCTTATGGAAAGCGGGACGTCGGTAGGAGCATTGAAAATGAACAGGGAGTGGTCGCCGTCGGTGACTGTACAACAAACAAAGCTGAAGCAGCACGACAAAAAATAAAAAAAGAGGTTCTCTTTTTTTTTAGTTGCCTGTTACACGTATGTTTATTTGCTTTCAAGCTGTTGGTAGGAACTAAAAGCAAAACAGGAGAAAGGTATAACATAGTCCAGCTCACACAGCCCGGTAAATAACAGCCGCACTCTGCAATCTGCTACGTGCTAGCAGTGTGTGACCTTTTTCGCTTTGCCATTTCTTTTCCTACTGACTTTGGCAGGTTTTTTATTTGCTCGCTTGACGAAGCAGTTCGAAAGTACATTCAAGTACTTGTTGGTGTACGTGTCCAGGCAATATTGGGACACCGTGCCTTTATGTTAAGTGTCGATCAGCGGTCACAAGTCAGCTGAACTCTTGCCGGGTGCAATATATCAGTGAAATGCGTATCGAAGCTAGGCACGGCTGATGTCGCCGGCTAGTCTGCGAGCTAAGTCGGAAGGTTTTGCAATTTTCACACTCCAATATTTCTTGTTCTTCAACAGAAGGTCTTTCGATTTGTTCTATGTTTCTGATTTCAGCTGAACTTGACAAGCATAATGACAGATCTGACTGGCTGCCCACCCGGCTACATAGAACTGGGTGTTCAGTTGTGC